AAACATACAATAAAACATAATTTTTATCAAAAAATTAGAAACGTATTTTAAATTTGTTTTTTATTCAAATGTCAATTGTTTCAAATTAAAAGCAATATTATTCATTAATTCACACATCATTGTTCATGAAATTTAAAAATAATTGTTGTATTTTAGTAAATGAAACATATATAATTATTCAAAAACTAAATTTAGTAAAAATAATATGACTTTTATTTTATAATGTAACAAGCAATAAGTAAATCACAAAAACACCAAACATTTGGATTGGTTTTTAAGCATTTTAAACTATTTTTTATTCAATTGATTACATTAAGTAAAAAGAGTAATTAAATTATAATTTTTATGAATAAAGTCGCTTATATTTTTATAATATATTTTATGTATTTTATTTTTGTTTTTATAAACAACGTTTTGAACACTTAATATGTTTTAATAATTGTGATACAAAAAAAGATTAATACATCACTTTTAACTAAAATTGAATTTATCATTCAAGTATTTTGAAATTATACCCAAAGATTGAGTCTGAAATAATAACATAGATGTTTTTTATTCTATTGTTTTCAATGAGAAAATAAATAATTTGTTTAATGATATAATAATTATAATGTATTAACAATAAACATTCATCAAACTTAACTAAAGTATTTTTTAAATATTATATTTTGAACAATTTGATAAAAGTTTAATTTGTTAATATTCTGAAAACGAATGAATCAATTTGTTTTCATTTGTAATAAAATATATAAAAGCGACTTTTTCAAATGAAAATCCAGATTAATATGTCCACTACATCATTTCAAATACAAGACATACACCAAAACATTGAAATTAAAGCTTCTGATGTTTGGGAACATGCATCTTTGTTTGAAGTTGAAAAAATAAACACAAGTATAAAAAGGCTTATCCCAAAACACGATCCACCCAGCATAAAACCGTCATTTAAAATAAATAAAAATTGTGTATATTGGCTTGTATGCGACAAGGGTGGAAAAATGTATGAATATGATTTGTCAAGTGGTTCGGTTTCAAACATGAAACGACATATTGTTTCAACACACAAAGAAATGAATTATGTTTGCAAATTTGTGACATACGAACCAAACAAACGCAAACCAAGTAATAATGATGTTATTATTGCAGAATATAGCATTAACTCAAACTTGCCATACGAACACACAACAAGTCGTTCTTTTTTGGAATTGATGTCCCATACAAACTTAAATGAACCAAAACTTACACCAGACAAATTAGCACGGACAGTAATTCCAAAATTATTTGATGCTGCCAAACTTAATGTCAAAAACAGACTTAATGAAGCACTATTCTTTTGTACAACAAGTGATGGTTGGAGCACATATATGTGTGAAGAAGAGTTTATGTCTCTAACTTTGCATTATGTTGACAAATATTACACCTTAAATAACGTCTTGTTAGAAATAGCACAAATTGAAGGAGACAAAACACCTGCAAACATCCAACACAATTTGGAAGTGTTCTTCGAAACTTGGAATTTAAAAGATAATTTTGTTGTTATTACTGATAACGCTGCCAATCAAATTAAAGCAGTCAAAGATTCAGGAAAGACATCTATTGGTTGTTCTTATCATACATTTAGTCTAATTGCAGAGAGATCCACAAGAGAAGTAAAAAGATACAACTTACTTCTAGTAAAGCTCCATAGAGTAGTTAATCTTTTTAGCAAAAGTATACAAATGAAAAATTGGCTTGAAGAAGCACAAACAATTGATGGTAAATCACCACTTCGAATTGTGAAACCAAAAAAAAACAAGATGGTTTGGTGATTATTTAATGGTTAACAGAATATTAATAAATGTAAAATATTTGAACGTTGCGATAAAGAAAAGACAAACCAAAATAACGAACCCAAACAACGAGAAATATTTATGTCCACTTATTATTTTACAGACGAAGACATAGAAGACATAACGAATTATATTGATGTTCTTAAATATCTAATTTTATTAATAAATCGATTTTCTTCAGACACATATCCAACACTATCTATTATACATTATTCAATATTGAAACTGTTATCTTTGTTATCTATAAAGTATGACTCTATTCCTGGTAACGTCGACGATACAACAACAACTTTTCAACATCAAGTATCCATTGGAAACAACAAAATAAACAACTTTGAACAACTTAAAGATTTAAATAATATATTTGATTTGGAAACAGAACAAATTAATGTGGAAAGTCCTTGTGCTGCAAAGAAAAAATAATTAATGTATTAGTTCAAGAAATCATTGATGTTATTTTCATGGAGAATTGTCTATCAGAAAAGATGTAAATTATATTATTTCATCATTGCTTAATCCTCATTATAAAAATAGAAAATTTGGTGAACATGTTATTGAGTGTACTGGATTTGAAATTGAATTTGTAGAAATAAAATACATTAATATATTTATTGATGAAGTCATTCTAGTCAATTCAGAAGAAGTCGAAAATGGTAAGAATAATGTTGAAAAGAAAGATGTTGATATTGATTTCACTTCTGAAATAGAGGGGATACCCGATCCAACTGATATCCGACAACTTGTTATAAAAGAAGTTGAAAAATATTTGAATGCGGGATTTGTTGAAAAAAACATTTTTCAATCCACTGGAATGGTGGAAAGAACACAGTTGTGATTATCCTCTTATTAGCAGACTTGTACCAAAATATTTGTGTTTGCTTGCGTCTTCTTCATCTTCAGAGCGATTGTTTTCAGAATGTTCTTTAGTACATACTCCACGTCGTTCAACATTAACACCAATTCATTTGGAACAATTCGTTTTTCTCCATGAGTATGGAAAAAACAATATGATATCATCATTGCTATGATAAGTAATTAATTTACAATTGTTTTGAAATTCGAGTTTAAACTTTTATTATCAGAGTACAATAAAAATCACTGCGGCGTGAAATATTATTGCGAATTGTTATTGTCCAAAAATAATGTTATTAAGGGTTTTAAAACATTTTGGGTTATTTTTTTGTTATTCGAGGCTGTTAAAATGAAAAACGACAATTTTGTTCTGCAAAATCTTTTGAGGCTAAGTCAACAGATTGTGCTAAGAGGAAAAATGGTGTTTTTATATACTTTTTATGGGGGTTTTGTCTTTTCCTTTTCTAATTGAAAAACAAAACGTTTTTAAATTTATTGTTATTACAAAAAGACAAATTCTAAATTTTAGTTTCCAATATCCAAAAATTATTTTACCAAGTAAAAATGTGTTTTGATATTTTTAAAATATGAATAAATGTACCAATAATTGATATTGATTTACCCGTTACATCAATTTAATAAATAAAATTTTATTGAACAGTCGATATCTCTGCCAAAATATGAACACATTTTAACAATAAAGTTTTGCTTAATATCGTATTGTTGATGAAGATTAATAATTATAAATAAAAAATCGTCCTCATAATTTTTGTTACCAAATAATCACTTAACAATATAATTTCATTCTTATGAATAAAGTGAATTCTTTGGTTAATTTTATAATGATTTTTTATTTGAAAAATCATTACTCAATGTCTTGTATCATGGTTGATCAATTTTCTGCTTTATGCCAAAACTTTTTAGGCCTTTTTTTACCTAATCCTTAATCCTAATACGTGTCGCTGACTGTGGGCGATTTCTATATTTAAAAAAGTAGCAGTTTTCGGTTTTAGGGTTTTGAATATAAGGATTGTTAAGTTAGATTCTTTTATACCTAACAAATGGGCTATTTTTTCCACAAACATCCCGATTATTTTAAAAAATATAATGTATTTTTAATAGAAAAACAATAAAAAATAACAGCACTTACAAACGCGTCGTTTCAGGTGAAATAAAATAGTATAATAATAACAATAATATAGTATAACTGTCTTTATTTGGATTAGTTAAATAATTGGTATTTTTACTATTTAGATTGAGAAAATTATAGGTTGTGACATGGAATAAATATAATATTAAATATGGTTTTTGAATAATTTTGATTAATAGTATAATTAATTATAATTTACAATAAATTTTAAAAATATAACAATTATATTAATAAATATAAATTAACTATATTACATAATATTTTTTTTTATAATTAATTAATTTATACTTAATATAATTATAAATAACAATGTTAAAATTATAATTAATAAATCCATATATTTATTATTATTGTATTATATAAAATATAGTTTGTAAGTCATCTATAGTTCGGTCAGCTAACGGGGTATATCGTTAACTATCCATATGGTATTTAGGTTACTTTTCAAATTGATTTCACAAATTACTATACCATCTTTGTCACATTTGATTCATTGTTTATATTATGTATTCATTTATTAACATTATTATATTAATTTGTATTATCTAACTTGAATATAAACATTTATTTTATATAAATATTATATATTTTTATTTAAATTTACTATATATTGTTATTTTATATACAAACTATACTAAACAAAAGAGT